TCGTGGATGGGGATCTAACATGAGTTTTATCATAGCTGTACTCAGCGGAACGATCACCACGTTTCGAAAAGCAATAGATCGCCGCTTCGTTCCTTTGCGATTTGTTGTAATGCACCCTCCCTCTGTCCTCCGAGACAATGAGAAAGATCACATGACCATTGGGTGTGACGCCGCCATTATGACTGCATCACGGCGCAACTATTCTTCATCTGCATGCTTGTTTTCAAGTTGCAGTGAACGGTGTTTTTGATCCCGAAGGTGCTGTTCGATCGCTGACCAACCGGTCACTGGTTTAAGCAATTACTAAATTTTAGAGAGTAGTGCGATGGGGTTTGCATTACTCTCAAAGTCATGGAATAACACTATGATGGAACCTCTCGTCACATTTTTGAGACGCTACTAAGGGAAGAACTTGTTGATCTGCATTATGCGAGCGATTGCACTTCATAAGGTTAGCCCCGAAGAACGCCTCTGGGCTATTCCCATTATCCCTTTTAGTCTTGTAAGGAGGATAGGTAATCAGTTCACTTAGCATGGATCCGCGGCCATCGTAGTTTGCGCATTGCAGGGACTGGAAGTGCTTTTGTGGATCTTCGGCATCTCCTATATCAAAAGGAGATTCTTCCTAGAACCGTAGGTCGCACCTACTACTGTGAAGGCATTGTGACCATGAAGTAAGTGGAATCTGATTTTTTTGGCGTAAATCTCACGGTCACCTTCATGTAACCACTCTGCTTGCATACCCCAGATCGTCTTTAAGCCCAAGCCCCTTGGAGTATCGCATCGATACAAAGTAGAAGATTTTGAGGACGTCCTTGATCAGAATTCGTTATATGTTACGGCTGCTTATAACGCAGGGCAGTGAAAGCTGCAAGGATGTTCTTTTCCCAATGTCGCTCTATCTTTGCATTTTAGCCAACTATTTGTGTCCATGTGATGCTAATGCATCGTAGGCACCTTTATACTAAATGTTTGCTCAGGGCGTTTAGGTTCTACACCACAAACTACTTCTGCCCTTCTACTAATCCCGATTCACTGGTTCACTGTGTTTGTATAGCAGTGAAGTGTCATTTCAAATCACTGGTGTACTGTTGCCATTGATGGTACACTGACCACATACCCCTTTCAGAGCTGTCCAGGATTTTCAATATTCGCTTACACTACTGTGGCAGTGAATCTAAACCATTCACTAGACCGGTAGACTGTGTATACCTCTGGCTAGTGTCACTCATTATCTAACTAGGTGCACATGTTCTGTTCACGCTGCTCGAAGTTTCCTGTTTCCGCTCGAAATCCAGACGTAACTAATCATAGAGTGTAGTTTGGCGAGTGCATCACAGGAATTCTGCACCTACTACCCTCGCCTAAGCAGTACTCTGCCTAAGTTGCCTATAATGCTGGTTGCTTATGTTTTTCACTCTGTTGGATGGGTGAAGGACTAAACCCTCTTTAAAAAATTGCTACACAAAGCACCGAAGAATCGGCAGCACTGTGCAACAACTCACCGGTTAATTCTATCCAATCGGTCCCAAAGGCATACTCCGCCCTGCATGTGAAGTGAATGCACTCTTCGCTGAGTTTCTGCAGCATCACGAAACGGCCTGTCAGTGTTTTCCCGCCTATCTCACCACTGTCTATTTGCGTCGCATTCCTCCTCTATTATAGATTATTCAAACCTATTCGATTTTACCTGGTCACTTCCCTTTCTCATTGTGATATAGTCCTCGGCTATTACACTTATCTTACTATCTGGTTCGAGCGTCTGAGCCACTCGTTTCTTCCTCACAAAGAACAGTCCAGTAATTTTGCACCAGTTTATCATTGTTCTCGCACACAAGCTAATTGCAGCTTCCCATGACGCCTTGCTTTCATCTCTTTTGAAAAACTAATTGAAACCAATGTTTCTTGTTGTCCTATCTTACTGCGCGAGATGGTGTTGCCCTTATCCCGTCGCGGAGTCAGCTGAACCTTCCTCCATTCAGCTCGTATGAGGTTGCTTATGGTGCAGCACATTGACACCCACTATGTGTGTGTGTGTGTGTGTGTTTCTCATTCCACGCATCTTACTAGGAATCTGGACATCTCGACTTGGGCACGAAGTCAGCTGTTTTCCCCCTTACTTCCACTGTTGCACCTTGGCCACTTATTACGAACTCTCAAAAGACTGTAAATAAACGAAAAAGCATATTTTTTTCTGCACTAGGCTAAAATGCCCAGGTTGTCCTAAGCGATAAGTCACATCAGATTGGATCGACCAATAGCGTTCAAAGTGCCCGGTCAACATTCCAATGGATGGTAAATGACAACTAAAAATTCAGACACTCGAAAATTACGCAACGAAATTTCAGTATCTCTTGAGAACGTGATATTTTTAGAGATGCTGATCGGATGAACATTATTCTAAAATCGGATAAGGCTTTCATCCCAATACTTCACAAGCTACCTAGCAGAGCCTAGTCCGGAAAAGCGCCAGACGCGTTTCGCCCTATTGGGGCTCGTCAGTGGCGCGCATTCCCTCGGTCCTCTAAGGAGGATCGAACGCATGACCGCTAGAGGCAGATGCCAACTGGCCAGCAGCTTAAGCCACTGAGCCATGGGGGACGTTGGCTGGGCTACATAATTTGCAAACTAGCTGGGATATAGCACCACCTATCTACCACTGTCACTGACAATGGTTAGCCTGCAAGGTGATGACGTCCTCTCACTAGACGCTATATCTATAGCATTTGAAACTAGGAGAGGCGTTATCCGATTTACAACTAAAATCCTGCTACTAATGAGCACTATAAAATCAAGAGCCTCTCCTAGTTTCAAATGCTATAGATATAGCGTCTAGTGAGAGGACGTCATCACCTTGCAGGCTAACCATTGTCAGTGACAGTGGTAGATAGGTGGTGCTATATCCCAGCTAGTTTGCAAATTATGTAGCCCAGCCAACGTCCCCCATGGCTCAGTGGCTTAAGCTGCTGGCCTATTGGCATCTGCCTCTAGCGGTCATGCGTTCGATCCTCCTTAGAGGACCGAGGGAATGCGCGCCACTGACAAGCCTCAATAGGACGAAACGCGTCTGGCGCTTTTCCGGACTAGGCTCTACTATGTAGCTTGTGAACTGTTGGGATGAAAGTCTTATCCGAATTAAAACTAAAATCCTGCTACTAATGAGTATTCTAAAATCGTATTGTCTTCAGAATATTCGTGATGAGTAATTTCCACTGTGATCTATGTTGAACTTATGTAAATCCTCGCAACAGTTACCAACTGACTTGTCTAACCTTTTTGCGCTATTGTGGATAACCCTAATCAAGTACCGTGATTTCTCTGGTGCCATTTCCCCTCTCTACCCAATGAGACTACTCGGGAGAACTAGGTGGATGTTTTCGTTGCGTTCACTGTTGTCACTACTTACCGTCGCTACGATGCAGGTGACCAGCCTTCCACTGCACGACTCTTTTTACCCGCACCACTTCGGCACCTTTGGAAACATACTACAGATGTACGGCAGCAGCATCCAGTTTCGGTTTAACGGCAGATTTCGTCAACGGCTGCGTGGTGTGTCCTGGAACTGTTACTCTTGAACATCTTTATTGGCGAGTTAGCGTACACCTAACCAAAGTACTCTATTATGTCTAACTAAATCTATAGTGGGAGTCGCAGGCCAAACATGTGGTTTGATCTTTCTGCACTGCATGATCGGACAATAGAGGAAATTATTCGGGTTTTTCAAAGTAGTTCCCGAAGGAGTTTTTGGGAATCTTCTGTCAGTTAAAGGCAGGATTGGATCCGCACCCTCGGATCACAAGGCAGGGTTGTGATTTTTAAGCACGCGGACCGGCATAGTTGCAGGTAACACTCTGCCGTCTTGCGACGCAGGGATTTAATTACTCAGTAACCTCCTTTGGAACGTTGAAATTGGTAAGTCATCGAATATGGACCTGCTGATAGGAGTGCATAGGAAAAAAGGTCCTCTTCCTCCGTCTAACGGAAAACCAAACGTGCTCGAATACTATTGGTGTTTGAATAAGTTCGTTCGAGGGGGGACTTAAGTTTTGACCTGTTAAAGAGTTGACCCACTCCATAGGAAACATGAATGCTTCAACTGTCACTACGTACCAAATGGCGAAAATGACCACCTGAGAGCTCCCTATTGTCATCGCAAAAAGGTGCCACCCGGCTCCACCCTAATACTAGTCGTTAGCCAGCATCTAATGGTTGTAACTATAGGAGCACAAATGTTAATTTTCTGTGCACGATTTCTCTATTTATTCCTAAACCAAACCGAGAGGTTTCTTGAAAATCAAATGCACCATCCGACTCTTCGCGTTCACTTATATTAGGAAGATGGTAACCATTTTCGGTGCTGCCGCATCCGGCCAAGCTCGAGTGGCTAACTTGACGCGTTCGATGCTTCTTAGTCTATTCACCGGATATCCTGATATCAATTACAAGTGGTGGTAGCATAGGTGGTCAGTGTTCGGTGCAAAATTAAGTTATCCAGGTGAATTTTCCACCCTGGATACGAATCGCCTCAATCGAGGACTACAGACAGTTAAAACTTGATCTTGGCCGAATCGATCCTATTTATACGATAGCTAGTTGTCTAGTTGATTCAGACTCTATTCTTTCCAACTACCACGTATTCATCTAGTACTGGACGCAGAAACAAACTTGTTCGTTTGTCTCACTTTTCATGAGAAAATCTTCCTAAACACTTCCACAGGACACTGCCTTTGTTTGTTCAGTGATCTGTTTCCTTTTCATTACCTGTACTCATTATTTCCGTATTTGACTGCTATTCTCTGCTCATAGATGTATGCATTTCTCGTATTTCTCCTTATTTTTCATCATATTCTCAAATGCCCCATCTAGTCGCTGTGTATGTATGAGCACCCCTTACGGAAATCACTGTGTTCCCATGTGCGCACGTCTTTACCTCCGTGCTGTCGCGATGTTTCACTTCATTCGTTGTGTTAAGTAACGATCATGTTTCATTTCCCATTCAGATGAAGGTCGTCGATGCTTTTCGCATGGGCCTGGGACATCGCATCGACCCCGAGCAACGACGCAGCATAAGCTCAATGGTTTTGAGACACGGCCAGAATCAGTCAATCGAGTTCGCCGACGCAGATGCCCCCGAAGTTTGATTAACGCCTTCTCCCACTAGGAGTTCAATGCTCACCGCTCATCCCACCACCTTGTACGCGTATCCGTCGGGCGTCATTTTTGCTTGCGGCTTCGAAGGTGCCCGCAACCTTGGAAATACGGCTCACTTAGTGGTTTCAACCTCCCTAATTTCGTCTATTTTCGAAACTTCTTCTTATCTCTTCCCCTCCTCATACATACACATAGATATATAAATATTTGCTTATCGTTGTTACTTATGTTCGCTTACCTGATGTGCGTTCGTCTATCGCTACCACTCGGCTTCTCTTCCGTGGACTTCAACATTGACGATAGTCTAGCTCAATCCCTATTTTATAACTCAAAAACGCGTCCCCCCACTTTCTCCACTTTACTATTTACATGCACACATGCGCATAAGAGAGGAGTCGTTGGTGGGTTTCTCCAAGCACCAACCCCTTTTACCTTTATTAACCCTGTTTTATTCCCTATTTCTTTTGTTCTCGCACGTGTACGCATATCTCTTCAGCGGCTTATCTTCACGCCTGTATTGCCCTCCGGCTGGCCGTCTAACTGTCTTCTCGTCTACCTGCCTGCCAGCTGCCCTGCGTCCCACTCTGGCAGCGTACCTCTGCAGAGCATCATTCATGTACAGCAGTATCGTAGTTGTTATCCGCGGCAATTTTAGCCTAGATATTAGCACCGAGTTGATGGTATACCCCTATCCGCCTCATTGTTTCCTGACCAGTTGGAACCTAAACCTTATCACATCAGTTCAGATATGCACACACCCACACATGCACACGAAGAGCCATTACCTAACGTAGTGAATCGACTATTTACTTAAACCTATAATACTTTTGGAATGTTACCTCCACTGTGTGTCGCTATGTACTACCTAGCACATTTGTGTTTACTCCCGACGTTTAGCTTTACAGAGACTCAATCCCCTAGTCTCATTTCGCATAGTCAACTGCAACCTGCCTTCCAGTTGAGTGAATTTTTCGGATGCCTTCCTCATTGCTGATTTTCACATGCGAGCCTCTTCGACTCAAACGAAGCACACAATACTGCCGTTGTATATTTTTCTAAAGTCCCCTCCAATCCCCCCGTGGTTGACCCCATCGTGTGTGTACCGTTCGCATGCATGCTTCTTTTCCCTTCTACCCCAACCTCCAGCTGAACTCCCAAATGTCTCCTGCTTCACACAGACTGTCCGCCCTTTTCTGCCCCTCCATCCCTCCCTTGTTCGCTAGAATCCGGCTGATCATGATGTGCCTGTGTTGTACAAGTATCGATTTTCTTCGCAAACACTGTATGCCGACCGTTTGCGATTACAACCATATTTCCCGCCTCCTCGTTTATACTTCTTAACCCGACTGAACCGCAATAGGTGATTTACCTTCTGACACCTATGGTCTTCCGTATGGAGCGTGTGCCCACTGAGCACATTATGAGGAGGATGTAATTTTGTTGGCCTAACCTGCGATGGCCTACACCTCGTAGAGGGTAGGCGTTGATTTGGTCATTGGAAATGAGCTCTGAGACGATTATATTGGGCGCCGTTGTCCTTGCTTGTCTTCCAAGCCGGAGCCCCCGCAGCCCACTCTGCGCTTAGCTCGGGTTCTCATGGGACTGGGTCATAGTCGACACTGTTGGCGCGCCTACTATCGTCTCCTAGCTCGACTGTGTGTCTGAATTTTGAGTGACGCTGGGTTATCCGCAGGCTATGTTTACCTATGACGCGGCGTGTGCACGGCCGCGAGGAAGGTGTACCGATAACCCTGTTTTATCTTCGCCTTATCGGTAGTAGTTTGCGACCGTACTGCGCTAACCAACGGACTTTACTTAACCAACATCTGACTGCCATGGTATCCACACGTTTCTTTGTGGATCGCTCACGAGTGTGGTTCTGCGCAGTCGGTGTCCGTTTCGCTTTTTTGATCTATTTTATGCATAGTGACTTGTCCTGCCCCTTGTGACGTTCTAAGCGAATCGGTAGATCGTTACCTGTGTCTTACCAAGTATGATTATGAAAATATATATTTCTCATGGTACCGAGAAACCGTGCCTACAAAGGGACAGGTCGTATTTACTTGTACAATATGATCACGCACGCAGATCTGTCGATGGCTTGGGTTTATGCAGGAAATCTCTACATTTGAGGCTTTTATTGTCCTTTTTCTATCAGTTCACGGGCACTCCTAGTCAGATTACTCTGGTCGATCAAGATATGTTGCATGTTACGCAATGGTTAGGAGACTTCATGGGATCAGCAGCTTTTCTTTCAGTCTTTAATTGCGGGTGCATTTTTACGGCTCGTGTGACCGTGTAACAGAAAAGAACCTCTGGAGCATTTAAGTCGACAAGTGGACTGTTCATAACTACTCATTAGTTTGCATGTTTTAATCACGGATGATGCGTAATTGCCCAATTGCAGATATCTTCTCCGAGCGAATCAATACCGTTCAGCACACACACACAACACACAGTTCATCTATCGCAAATGCCAACCGTGTAGTTGGTTGGATGGCCCATCACGATCGATACAATCCCACACAAATTTTATGCACCCGGGTGGGTACTTTTCAACAAATACAGTAAAACCTCCGTAAGTTGATCACTCAGCGAACTTGTCCAAATTGGTCAACACAGTGAGCTAGTCAACATGTGGAGGTCCAACACAAAAACTTAGCATACTCTACTTTCCCGTTGTAGGTAGTGTAGTGTGAAATTTATTTTCACGTACACCCTGCCTTGAATGCATTAGTTGAGCTCACACGTAACGGCAAACACATTGCCATTTCGGTTCCAGTACCTGATGCTTGTGCTTTTGAATTTTTCTAGCTGTTGTTTTGCTAACACCAAATTGTTCTGCTGTCCTTTTTGGCCGTTACTTTCCGGAAAATGTATCAGAGGAATCTTTTTCGGTGTCAACTCTGAGAGTTTTTCTCTTGGGATATAATGCTGCGTAATAACTCATCCCGCATTGTTCAAAGCACGGACTGGATCCAAGATCTAGGTACATACAATAACAAACCTCAGTTTTTTACGCTTTCAGGTAATCAACGAGTAGCGCGGGATAGGCGCTCCACGATCATTGTGAATGTAAACGTCGATTTCCACACAATCCGATAGGCTAATGGACGGTGTTGAGCATGTTAGCTTAGAACCAGTTAATTGAGAAACATTTATTTTCGGCAGTGGCATCTATGGTTCGAGGAATGAGCACCATTGCAGTTTTCCAAGGTGGGACGAATGCCCGGGCCTAATAAGCAAATGACTCCATAAAAGCTCGGCGAAATCTGTCAAGGACTACACGCCCAGTGCGTGTCTTTGCTTGTGTTGTCATAATGATTATACTTGGGGCTGTACGTCGTATATCAATATCTTATACACGTATGGTTCCTCGGATGATGAAGATTCACAGTTCGGAAATATCTACGGTCGAGAGACCCAATGATAACAGATGTTTAACTGGCGCTGGATAGATGTATCCTCTCTTGTTTCAGATGAGCCGAGATTGCACAATATAGGTTACCGAGAACGTAGTTCGTGCGTAGTTTCTGATGGCCGTTGCATCATCACCGACGCCGTATTTATCAATTTTGATTTGGTAACCTTGAGCCACTCGGTTCGCGTCACAGATAGCAAAATCCATCACATAACTAGTAGCGTTCCGGTTGACGAGGAGATCTGGCTTGATGTATGTTGTTGGCGGGAGGTTGCGTGGTTCTAGGATGAACGGACCTCCCCGACGGCATAGAATTGTTACAATTTGCTTGATGGTGTCATTGTACCGTTTACAACTTGCGTCGTGGGTCACACTTCAAGATTGGAACAAGTAATCGGTTCGTGTATTCCACATGAATCGCGGCAATTGAGATCGGATAGGGAACGCGGTGGTCTGCCTCTTGCGCGTCTAAATTTCGTAGAAAGGGTACCTGCGTGTAATTGAGTTACCCGGATAAATAGGCGCGAGAAAACGCGTGCAGATTGCCGGAGCTGTCGATGAGTAATTTGATGCGTTGGAGCCTGACTCAGAGGTGATCCGTCAAGGACAGTAGGCTGCTGAACCTTCCGTGCCTCCTCTGTCGTGGCTCTATCCGTCGCAGTTCGCCCGCCTACAGTAGGTGACGAATTCGCTGGCCGATGTGTCACTGAAACGAAGAAGTCACAGAAGTCCCAGTTCAGGATCGCATACGGTTTGGAAAGATGTCACTCTAATCTGTCTTTTCGTAGTAATGGCATCATGGTTGAGAGGCTAGGAATGCCTAAGCCGTGATGATGGATGGATGGATGGAGGCAATGTCTTTATTCATGGGTATTCTGAACCACTTGCGAACGTTGGCCCCGATTAATTTGTCCATCCTCTTGTGGGTGTACCGATGTATTACTTCCAGTGAGGGCATGTGGATGATTGTTAGGATGAGGAAGGTCCTGAGCATTCCCATCCGTTGGTGTGCTTTTAATAGTGCTTGTGAGGTTTCTTGGGGTTTTTGGCTCAGCTCATAGAGAGAGTCAGATAGTAGCTGGCCGCCCCAGTTAAAAGTCAAACTAAATAACTTAAATGGATTCGTCGGTTGTACTGATGGTAGATTCCTCGATCCAACTTGAAGATCAGAGGTGTCCAGTAATGCTTTCTCCATAGATCTATCGATGATGATATCTACCGTATTAGTTTTCATTTGATTCATAGGAAGGCCAATAAGCCGAAGTTCGATGTTAAAAGTCAGGAGTCGATCCTGTGGTGCATCTTTGTGTTCCTCTACGATGATCACATCGTCCGCACATCCTCTATAATCGACCACGTCTGCGAAGCACATCCAGCAGCAGAAAGCAGGCTTTTGAAGTGCTTCGTCGAGCGTCATGATGCAAAGTAGGGATGGAGGTGATTCCGCTTATCTAACGCCTCGCTCTGGGTGCGTTCACACCTCCCGGAACATAGTAGGAAGATAGCTACTCAATTAAAAAGTTTAGGGATTCCAGAAGTAGATGTAACTCTAATTATAAATAAATAAATATTCTCGGGCAAGCGAGGGAGTCATAAGAGATGGAATCAAAGGCCTTTGGAAAGTCGGAGGGAAAGGAAGAGATCTAACACTCAAACAGAATGCAGTGCAAAAGGCGAGCGAATGCGAGGTTCATAGGTATTTGGCGGAAATGTTCGTGAGGCGTGGGATCTTTGGGACACAGGTTACTATGGCCACATTAAGACAATATGGGTAAAAGACGAATGCATTTCAGAAACGACCTAAATAAGTGGGGACCCGTGCGTTCGACGTCTTTCGGTGTAATGCGGTCAACGTCAGGCACTGAGCCCACCACCTGACTGCGCGATGGGCGAAATTCCGATACGGAAATGTTTTCAACAAGATCGTTTGGCAGGATGATCACGTGTGGGGATCGGTGATCAGGCGCTGGGGACTGTGGGGATACCCCTGTCCAATATCCGATGAAGCCAGGGATTCGTTCCTCTTCTTCTAGATAGGAGGTTCCCCATCGAGCGCCGTTGCTGTCGCGTCCCGACCCCTGAGATGATTAAGATGTTGGACGTGCCCGAACTGGAATTTACTCTGTTGTTTATGGTACTGAACTTTCTTGGTGTGCTTGCGCGGCTTTGATGGTTTCCAAGTATGGAGAAACTACGTCGAAACTTGTCGAAGCGCGTATTGCATTCGTGTCGAGAATACTGAGTGACAAAGATTTTGAAGCTCAGGAACATGTGCTTGGATTAAATCTGCGTATAGCGGAAATGGGCGGCTAGCTTCACGGAGTAGATGTTGGAACGTTGTGGATCGTTCCGCTGCTAAGAAATCTGGTTTATCCATTATAGGCGTGGTAGATTCTCCATGAGTGAACGAAGTTGGCGCGATTCGAATACGCATGGGTCACCTGGCTTTCGTCCTGGAATCGGGATCGAATGAGCCTGTGTCGAACATGTCCAAAACAACTTTGTGACGCTGACGGAAATGGGTTGTTAGGTTCTCAGATAATGACGATAACGACAATGTTGACGATGGGGTAACCCGTCATGGTCATGGAATCGGGCGCCTTGTCCCGCGGTCGTGCAGTCACGTGGATCAGAGCTGGGTATGGTCTGCGTAGTAGGCGGAGCTGCAGTTTCATTGAGTTACCAGCGTAGAAATCTCTGACGTTTGGTAATACTCTCCGCAGATCGGGAAGGGTAGTACAGTTGTAGACAATTGGCAAAGTCGTTGAGAGCGCTTGCATTCAAGCGGAGAGTATCTGCGTTAATAAGCAGAGTCGCGTGTTCCAGGATCGTAGAGAAACTTCGTGGGCACAGGTCACATTGGTAGCTATGGATTCGCTGTGAAGCAAGCGACGTTGACATAGGGTTCTGCTCCGTATATGGTGACCAACTATTGGCGGACATTGGGGACCTCCCAAGAATGGCTGTTGATGATGTAGAAACTGGGTCTGTCGGTGTCAGTGCGTTTCGCGTCAAATAAATAATTAACGTTTT